TCCAATAGTCCAATAGTCTAGAAGGCTGATGCATAATTGAACTTGCCAACACTGAGCTTGTTAAATTCCCATACTTTATGTAAAATCAAGAAAACTTACCATAGTCACGTTAGCTAATGCTATTACACATAGTTATTTGGTTAAATCATGGCTAGTTCCAAATTGCGTAACACTTGATTCCTTTTTCATTTTTACTACCCCTTTTTGTTTCCCAGTAGCTATGGTTTTTACAGCTATTTCTACTATCTGCTTATGAATGCACTTTGCACATAATGTCAGGACAGAGGAGAAATTAACAGGTCCTGGGGGTATTATGTGTAGCAGTGATTTTATTTCTGAATGAAAAATGTCGACAAATCTGATCTCTAAGCCAAGCCAGCCCCACAGAGCACACCTGGGAGAAGACTGTCCCAGAGATGTTAGGAAGCAGACACCCTAGAGAACCCATATTCCTTCATGGCTAGAGGAAATCCTGGTGATACTCCTGTGTTCCACACACCGCAGATTATTCACTATTACTTTTTTACATAGAAAATATATGAGGGACGTGTTTAAGCATCTCTTCTGAATCAATAAAATTAAACGCCACCTGATTAAAGAACAGAAACTTATCAACCACAGGGAAAAATAAAGTCATGAATATACACACTTAGAATGCAAATAAAATGTAAGCAAAATAATGCTGTGCTTTTTTTGTTAGTTACTTTATGTTGAAGTGTAATTTATATACAATAAGCATAGATATTTTAAGTAGACACATCTAGGAATTTTATGTATGCATACAATCATTTAACCACCACTCTGATCAAAATTTAGAATGCTCCTGCCTCCTACAAAAGTCCCCTCAGGATATCAGTACCCACAAAGGAAACCACTATTCTCCCCTCTATTACCATAGATTGGTTTTGTCCTTCAACAAGATAAATGTCTTCTTCCTAGCAGTTGTTCAGATGTCTTTAAGACTAATAGATTCACATTTCAGGGACAGTGCAAAATTTCCACCACTGTAACAATTCAAATAAGAAGCAATGATGGTCACAGATTTTGATTTATTAATTCCTTAACTATGGAATTATATGGAGACATTAATAATATTATATCAGCTATTTCACAAATATTATGTACAATTGTAAAAAATTAAAATTCTATAATTCCCAACTATACAAAATGATTAAATGAATTATAGTTTATTCATATCTATAGTTCTCTATGGAGCCTTTGAAGTTTAAGATTATTGGAGATAATTTAATGACTTATGAGAAGTCTAGCCATGGTCATTGAAAAGGCAGTATGAGACCTTGGGTTAGTAATGAGATTTTAAATATAATGCAGAAAATGAGATCCATGCCAGAAAAAATTGATAAGTTGATTTTATCAAAATCAAAATTTCTGCTCTATGAAAAACACTGTTGAAAGTACATACCACAGTCTGAAAGAAAATATTTGCAATGTACTTGTTTGATAAAAGGAATTTTATCCAAAACATACAAAGAACACTTAAACTCAGTAGTAAGAAAACCACCAAATTTTTTTAATGGGCAAAAACTCTGAAAAGACACCTCACCAAAGAATATATAAAGATGGCAAATAAACATATAAAAAGATGCCCAATCACTTCTGTTTCCTTACTCTGATCTGGAAAAAAAGGTGGAAGTCATCACTTCTGCCCTCAAAAGAAAAAATGCGCTGAACAAACTGACATTCCACAACTCTTTCTGGCTGTATCAGAGGATTGGAGTCATAAGGCAGACTACTGACTCCAAATTGAAGAGAGAAGTACTGAGCACAAGAGCTTACCAGAAACAGAAGCCAATAAAGAAAAATCTTATGAAGAAACCTAAGCTCACAAATTTAATAATTTAGAAAAATAGACATATTCTTTGACAAACACACCCTATCAAACATTCAAGAAAAGTAGATAATCTCAATATGTCCATAATTATTAAAGAAATAGCATAGTTAATAATCTTCCAAAACAAAAAGCACCAGGCCCACTCTGATGGTTTTACTAATGAATTCCACTAAGCACTTAAGCCACAAATGATACCAATTTGCTATAGTTTGTTCCAGAATATAGAAACAAAGGGAACACTTACAAATTTACATTCACCCAAATAGAAAGAGGAGAAATGAAATTATCTCTGGCCACAGAAGATATGATCTTGAATGTAGATAACCCTAAGGATTTTACACAAAACAACTGTTAGAACTAGTAAATGAACTCAACAAACTAGTAAGATACAAAGTCAACACATATCAGTTGCTTTTCTATACAGTAACACTGAACAGGCTGGAAAGGAAATAATAAAAAATCTATTTACAATGCATCAAAAAGAATAAAACAGGAATTAAGCAAAACAATGTGAAGGAATTGTACAATGAATACTATAAAACACTAGAAATTAAGGAAGATATAAATATAATGGAAACACATTCTATGTTCATGGATTTGAAGACTTAGTTTTGTTAAGATGTAAATAGTATCCAAACGGATCAATGAATTCAAATTCCTGTTTAGCAGAAATGGAAAAGCCCATCCTAATGTTCACATAGAATATTAAGGGTCCAAAAAATGTCCAAACACTCTTGTAAAAGAATACAGCTGGAAGATTCATACTTCCCAACTCCAAAAGCTCCTACAATTGTGTAGTGACTGGCATAAAGATAGAGATGTAGATCAATAGAATAGAACAGAAATCCCCAAAATAAATGCTCACATATATGGTCAAATTATTTTTCACAAAGGTAGCAAGAGTCTTCAGAATATTCAGTTGTCTTTTCAATAAATGGTGCTGTGACCACTAAAAAATATTCATATGTTAAGGAACAAACTTAGTCTGTTACCTAACACCATACACAAAAATTAATTTAAAAACTGATCAAAAGCCAAAATTTAATGTCCAAAATTACAAAGTTCTTAGAAGACAACATAAGACAACATCTTCATGACATTGGATTTGGCAGTTATTTCTTGGATAGGGCACCAAAGGCACAGTGATGAAAGAAAAAAACTGACAAATTCGACTTCCTAACAATTTTTTAAAATTATGCATCAAAGGACACTATTAACAAAGTAAAAAGTAAATACATAGAATGGGAGAATATACTGAAAATTATGTATCTAATAAGGAATTGATATTCAGAATAGAAGACTAAAACTCAACAACAAAAGTAAATAATCTGACACAAAAATGGGCAAAAGTCTTAAATAAACATTTCTCCAAAGAAGATATACAAGCAGACATTAACCACATGAAAAGATGCTCATCATCACTAATCAATAAAGAAACAAAAATCAAAATTATGATAAGATACTACCTCACATTTATTAAGATGGTTACTATCAAAAAGACAAGAAATAGTAAGTGTTGACAAGGATATGGAAAGGATGGAGCGCTCGTGCACTATTGATGAGAATATAAAATGGTATGATGGTTCTTTTAAAAATTAAACATACAATTATACACTGCAGCAATTCCATTTCTGGATATATACCTGAAGGAGTTTAAAACAGGTACTAAAGAAATATTTGTTCAAACATGTTCACTGCATTATCTACAGCTAAAATGCAAATTCTATCCAAGTGCTCATCAGCAGATGAATGGATAAGTCAAATATGGTGTATCTATACCATGAAACATTAATCATCCTTAAAAAGTAAATAAATTCTGACATATGGTACAGAATGAATGACCCTTGAGGGCATTATGCTAAGTGAAATAAACCATTCACAAAAGGTCAAATACTTTATGAATTCATTTACATGAGGTAGTTACAGAAGTCAAAATCATGGAGATGGTAAGTAAAATGATGGTTAGCAGAACCTGGGGCTTGAGTATTGAGGGAGTCTGAGTGTAATGGTATAGGGTTTTTGTTTACAAGAGGATGAGAGTTATGAAGACCGGTTATTCTACAATATGAATGTACCCAGTGCCATGGAACTACACGCTTAATGCTTAATAGGATAGATGTAATGGTATGAGTATTTGGCCACAGTAAAAAGAATAATAATTAATTTATAGAAGAAAAGAAATGAACAATCAAAGTATAAAAAGACACGGGGTACCCTAAATGCACACTTAGTGAAAGGACCCAGGCTGAAAGACTACATACTGTATGATTCCAAATAGGACATTTGGAAAAAGAAAAACCTATAGAGAGAGGAAAAAGACCAGTAGTAGCCAGACATTTGGGACAAGAGGATAAAGGATGAATAATAAAGGAACGCAGTAGGTTCTTAGCCAGTAAAACTTCTGCTCAGTGCTGTAATGAGAGACACCTGGGGAGGGAGCAGACAGTGGCCTACCCACCTGGCTCCTTCCCCCTCATTCCACTGTGTGAGCCAAAGGAGGCCTTTCCCATCAGGTCCATTCTATCTGAATCTGCATGAAATATCTGGCTCCTCGAATGATTTCACTTGAAAAGAAACTATAGTTCCTAAATAAAGTGCTTGGAACTATCTTGCTATATAATCAGTATGTTCTAGGCCTTCACTAAGAATCCAGCTCATTAAGACTTGCAGATTCCTGGATCCCTTCATTCTGCCAGGGTTCTATGGAGATGCCTGCCCTGTATTCTAGGGAGCCTGCTAGGTTTAGGGTTACAGAGACCTATGTGTGATGAGAGGCACAGGCAAAGCCTGCGGGCTCAACCCAGGCCTTCTTGTACCCTGCCAGGAGCAAACTCTTGGCTCTCTTTATTCAGCATGATGTCACTTTCTCTTTCCTACAAATCATTTTCCGCTTCAAAGAAATCAGTGCTTCATAGTCCCATAAGACCATTTCTTATATATTACTGGGCACAACCGCATGCCCTTCCACCTCTGTTCCTCAAAGTCCAAGCAGAATATAGGAACTGGAAACTTCCTTTTCTTTATCTATAAACCACTTCAGGGTCTGATGCATACTCAGCACATTCAGGATCTTTCTTCATCCTTCCTGGATCATGACCCTGCCCAGGCTCTCTGGTTCCTATAAAAGGAAAGCAGAGCCCCAGAGGAGCAGAGAAGCTCAGATCAACCCAGAAACCTCCAGCTACAACACTGAAACCGACCTCCTCACCCTCCACCATGAAGGTCTCTTCAGTGTTTCTGTGCCTGCTCCTCACAGCTGCTACCATCAGCACCCATGTGCTTGCTCAACCAGGTAAGGTGTCTTCTTCCCCCGGGGTAACATTTTGCTACCACATGTACTAACATCCCAGCATGAGTCATCCTAGACTTTCTGTACAGTCTGTCTTTTAAAGATGGAGAAAATGAGATTAAAAGAGGGAAATAGGCCATTATGTCACACCTAGTCAGAAATAAGAACTAAATGCCCAGGCCACTAAGGCCAGCCCCCATGATGTCTTCAGCAGCAGCTTTGGGAAGAGACCTTGAGTACAGCCACTACATCAACATGCTTCACATTATTTGGGGAGGTGGCATAGAAAGAAGGACCATTTCTCAAGGTGAGTGGGAAGGACATTTCAGAAAATAGAGACGAGGAAGGAACTATTCCTTCAAGTTTCAGATTTCACATCATGGTCTGGCATAGCTTACAGAACAGTAGCTGTGTAAGGATAAGAACCCAGAAGATTCTCAACATAGGACACAGGTTGACTCAAAAGCCATAGGGACAAGTACCTTGGAAGCAAGGTCTTAGAATTTATGTTGTTTAATTAGTAGATGATATTCCTCCATGTGCAGTCAACAGTGAGGAGCTCATTAGTTGAACAAATGAAACTGACTCATCAGTAACATTTTATTGCCGGGATTTGAGCTAAGGCACTGAACTTGGGAGCAGTGACTCCAGGGTCTTCTCTTGCCTTCCCCCTCCCTTGTGAGTGCATACTACAGTGTCTGCTGTCTCACTCTACACAATTGCTTTCAGATTCAGTGTTCACTCCTGATGACTGCTGCTTTCGTATGTACCCAAAACGTTTCTCCATCCAGAGGCTGAAGAGCTACACAAGAGTTACCAGCATCAACTGTCCCCAGGAAGCTGTGATGTGAGTGGACCATGCCTGGCACCCCTAGTCAAGTGCTCTATCTTAAGTGACAAGGCACAGGGGCCAAGATTTATGACCAAACAAGTCAGACAAACATAGCATCTAATCCCAAGGGCCCCTTCACCTCATAGAGAAGCTGAGCCCAGGTGAAGGAGTCCATAATCATGCAGGCTCCTCTTCTAGGACCTTGGTGAGATTGTCCCAGCTCTGTCAGCCATGAAGGAACCTGCAGGACTTCAACTTGGATAGCAAGGGCAGGGCTCCCTCCTGAGGTCTCTTCCTTTCACCTTTCCCCGTTGTCTCTCCCAGTCACAGATCCTTCACCTATAGAACAAGAGCTGATCAGGTCTTGGGGCCAGTGGACTGTGTTCTTGAGCAGAACCTTCAAGGTGCTCCCTAACCATGTCCTCTCTGCCCCACAGCTTCAAGACCAAACTGGATAAAAAAGTCTGTGCTGACCCCAAGGAGAAGTGGGTCAAGGATTGCATCAAGCGCCTGGACCAAAAGTCCCGAACTTTGAAACCTTGAATTTTCACACCTGGACAGAAGGAGTCGGAGCTTGAGAAAATCTTATTTATTTTCCCCTAGTGGGACAGTATCTTCTCATAATGTCCAAAAGGTGCAACTTATTTAATAATTTAAAACACATTTCTTAAATAATGTTTAATTATCCTTAAGTTATTGGTGTTTTACGTTATCTGCCAAATAATATGAATATAAAATACAAAATCTTAGTGATGTGTGTTTTTTTCAATGAAGTCAAACTGAATTCTTGGAAAAATGTCAATTTTATCCCTCCCACATTCCAGTAGGATTATGAGATCTACCCACGGATAAACAAAATTGTCCGCATAAGCACAGAATGTATGGTCTCTCAAGCCAAGTGTTTGTTTATACTATTGGGACCAAATAATGTTCCTACATGGCTATGGAAAATAATGTTTCTACATGGCTATGGAATTCTCAGAGAAAAGTATATATGTAATTTTAAATTACTTACTCTTATTTGCCTGTGGTAGAATTTAGCTTGGAGAGAGAACATACCAGCCATGGGTAGCAGTTTGAAATGTATGTCACATCCAGCAGAAGTGTCTTTTGGTGAACTGGACTCAACCAAGGTTGAGAGAGAACTTAGCAGGACCAGACCAGCCCATTCTATGCCTGACACCACCTGCCCTTATTCATTAGGATCTCTAAGCCCATTTCTTTTCTCACCACAGCTATCTTTACCCAAAATCTTTCTCTTGATCTCTTACAACAGTGCACAAATTTTTTTTCATAACCCCTAGTTTTCTCCCCCTAATTAATTCTCAAACCCAGAATAAATATTCTGGATTGAAACAAGATCAACAAGGAAAGTAGAAGTCTATAACACACAATAATTTAGGGCTTTTTATGATTCTGATCCTTCAATGCAACTGGTCTGGAAGGATGGAGTATGTGACTGATTGCAAATGGATAGAGCTCTTCCAGCTAGTACAGGAGGAAGAAGAGGCCAGTGAGCCAGAGGGAAGAATCCTACCAGATGGACTCTGAAAAGACAGAGGAATTTGGCTTCCGGTGTCATGGCACCAGAGTTCCTTCCTGAGCACATTGTTGAGAGACCCCAACTCACTAGATCACTTTTTGTGGCTTGTACTGGCTGCAGGCTGCATAGCGAGGACCCTGGGAGGCACTCAAGCCATACAATGACCATTTGCTTTTCAGAAGCTGCCTGTCACCCAGCCACTAACTATGTTCTTAGCATATGTGTTACTTTTCTTTCATTCCTGAGACAAAATACAGACAAAGTTAAAGGAGGAAAGGTTTATTTGGCTTACAGTTCATAGTGGTTTCAGTCCATAATCAGTTGGCTCGGAGGCAGGGTGGCACATGGCTGAGGCGCAACAGTTTGTGGGGGTGGAAAACAGAAAAAGCAAAAAGGGACCTTAACAGCATCGTTCTGCCCCTTTTATCTCATCCAAACTACCAGGATTAGGATGGTGCCAAACCAACCACTCACATGTAGTGGTTTAGTAATCACATGCCCTTAATCCCAGCATCACACGCTATAGATTCAGTCACTTCTGCAAAAGAAAGCCCCACTTCATCCACATGAGGCTTTGGGGGAATATCTAAACACAAGCCATAACATTCCACCCCTGGTGCCCCAAAATGCATGCACATCCCTTTATGCAGAAAAAGCATTTAGTCCGTCTCCAAGAGTTGCCAAGTCCTAACAGCTTCGGCACTGCTGAAAAGTCCAAGTCCCAAGTCTTCTGAAATTTAAGGTAAATTCTTAGTTGCAAGCCCCTGTTTGAATGAAAAAAAAAATTAAACACTTGCAACATTCAATGGCACAAGATAGACATTTCCATTCCAAAAGGTACAAACAGGAGGATACAAAGGAATGGGACCAAAGCAAGTCCAAAATCCACCAGGAGAAACATTAAATCCCACAGCTTCACTTCCAGCATCCAAAGCACATTGTAAACTCCAAAGGGCTTGGGTGGCTCCTCCCCTAAGGCGCTGCTTGTGGTTGTAGCTCCCATGGCTTCCCTCTTGGGCCAGCTCTGCTCCCTCCTTGCAGTTTTTCTCAGACGATCCATGTTCCTGGCTTCTCCAAACTTCTGGGATCTTCACTGCACCTTCGGCTTCACACTCACAGCTTCACACACTTCCCTCTCAGGGGCACACGGCTTGGCCTCCCAGCCTCCATCTGAAATCTGGGTAGAAGCTTTCCTGATTCCCACAACTCTTGCATTCTGCATCCACCTAAAACCAGAACCATGTGGATGATGCCAAGGTTTGCTGCCAGCTGGAGTAGCAGTACCCAGTCTCCCCTCTCTCTTGGCTGTAGGGGTCAAGAGACTGGATTGCTGAACACTTTGAATCCAGTTCTGATGAGGAAATTCTCTAGCCTGCTGCCATTCTGAAACATGGTACCCTAGGGCTCACTTCTCAAAGCAATCTTTCACATTACCAATTTTGAGGCTACAAAGTGTGGAGTCCTGCTGCTTCTTCTGATGCCTTTAAGCCATCTTTTCTATTCTGTTCCTTTTCAGTAACCAAGATCTCCTCCCTTCTGTCTTTGCAATCTGCAGCTTTACTGGAGCTTCTTTTTTGGCCAAACTCAAAATGTTTTAAATCATTCTGTCGGGCTCTTTTGTCTTGATTCTCAACATAGATCTGGCTAAAAGCCCACAGCAGCAGCCATGCCACAGCCTCAACATTAGACTGCCTTGAATTTCTTCTGCAAGATTAATTAGTCTGCCCCCTTTAATATCAGTCTCGGGCAAGTCTCTGGATATAAACAAAATCCCATGCCCAAGGCATAACAACACACATTGTCTGGAGTCCAGCAGCCAATGCAGTCCTTCTTCCCATCAGAAACTTTCCAAGCCTGGTCTTTACTGGCTTTCCGGTCTTCTGAGCCTGACCAGAATCTCCCATACAAAACAACCTGAGGAGTTCTAGCTCTACTCCTTCACCTGGCATCTCCAAATCTTTCTTAACTCTTCCCCTTTCCACAAGCCAGTTCCAAAGGCTTTTGAGCCACATGGCCAGGTAATGGCACAGCAACAACCCCACTTCTGTAGTACCCAATTTTTGTGTTAGTTACTTTTTCTCTCATTGCTGAAACAAAATACCCAACACCCAAAGTTAAAAGGGGAAAGGTGTATCTAGCTCACAGTTTGTAGAGGTTTTAGTCCATAATCAGCTGGCTCCTAGGCAGAGTGGCACATGGAGGAGGTGTGTTGCAGAGGAGAAACAGTGCATGGCACCCACATGGTACCAAAAGCATAAAGGGAGCTTAACAGCATCTTTCTGTCCCTTTTATCCCATCCAGACTACCAGGATTAGGGTGGTGCCAAACCAATCACTCAAATGTAGTGGTTTAGTAATCACACGCCCTTAATCCCAGCATCACACACTCTAGATTCAGTCCCCTCTGAAAAAGAAAGCCCCACCTCATCTGCATGAGGTTTTGGGAGGACATATAAACACAGGCCATAGCACAGCATACAAAGTACAAAATTTTCCCTGGAGAGATTTCAAGAGTCTCTGAAGAAAGGGATTCAACATGGCTGAATAGAGAAGGAAACAAGTTAGAGATACTTTAAAAAAAATCAACTGAAAACACAGATAATTGGAGGAAATGGAGAGACATACATCCTGTTGCCAAAATCAATCTGGAATAAGAGTCTTGCAGATTAAACAAAACATAGGCACAAAATTTCATAAAACAGCATACCAGCCCACAGAGCTGCCAGCAGTTCTGCCACCTGTGAGCCAAGCAAGAATTGCCACACAGAAAGTCTCCAAGAAATGGATGGACTGCAAAAGTGTGGCTGACTCAAGACACACAGGATAGATTTGGGATATAAGGCTCCTTGCCTCTTTTGCCTTCCTCCACACAGAGAACTCTGCAGCCTGGCAGTAAATTTCACCGGCACACACAGGGGCAAGTGACAGGAAACTGCTTCCTCCCAATGGACAGGCTGCCAGCTTTCTTTCCTCTGTCATGCACCCTAGTGACTAACTAGAAACCCTATCAAAAGCAAAGTTAGGTAAGTTAGCAGAAGTGATGGAAGAGTGACTGGCCACGGGTGGCTTGAGAGAAAGATATAGACATGAGGGATTTAAGCAGCCTTGAGAGGTCAGCACTCAACCCTCTGGAGAGGAGATTCAAGGAGAATGAGCAGCCTTGGGCTGTATCCCCCCACAGTGACAGCACCCTCACCCTCACCCCCACCCTGTGACACGCAGCACAACAGGATAGAAACATGCCAGTGAGGGTAGAACAGAGGAGGCTATCCAAAGACCAGGAGGAGCCAAGTGTATACGGGCGTGGGAACACCACAGCAACTGGGAGAGTGAGGTAGAGACAATCAGGATAAGATGTGGGTGGGCACCAAGGGTCATACGTTGGCTGAAAACTAGACCCAGCCCCCACATCCAGAGGCCAAGATCAGCCCCATACCCAGCACTAATCCTACTGCATACTTGGCAGGGTCACACAGCACAGTTTTGGGACCCTTCCTGCCTTGTACACTACCACAGAACTGTGGACACCAGAAGAATTTTATTATGTTGTTTTTTCTTTGTTTCATTATCCTTTTTCTGTCTGGTTAGTGTTTTGGGGGGTTGTTTTTAACATTGGTTAGGTTTTTACTTTTATTTTTATTTTGTTCTATTCATTTTCTTTCTCTTTTTCCTCAACTATTTCTCTTGATTTTTATGATATTTTATATGAATGAAATTGTCTCTTGTCTTTCTGGTTCAATATTCTTTTGCTTTATCCTTCAATCTTTCTCTCTTGGCCCTCTTCTCCAGTTTCCCAAAGCTTGGGTGATGATCCTTTGTCCTCCAGCCTTGCCTCTACTATATTTCCTTTCATTTATCTCTCTGTTTTGTGTCCTATCCCTCTTAAATTTCACCCCACTAGGGTAAAATCACTGCACTAAGAGGAAACTCGTTACATACAAGTTACTGGTTGATGTTTGACTTTGTTATATAACTGTAGATATTGCTCTTATGGTTTAATGTACCAAATTAATAGTTACTACAATTTTTCAGTTTCTAGGCTATCCCTGATGATACTGTTATTGTGAATTGTACTACTTTACCCAGGATGTCATACTGTTTCAGGATGTCAGCTGCTCTTCCTTGTATGTCAACACTGTGATTGTCTAGGATCATAACCATCACCAAAGTCCAGTACCAAAGGATTGGGTGCAG